GGAGGGGGAGGCGGGGGAGAGCCTGGGGCTGGAGCAGGAGGGGCCGCGGTGCCGGCTGGTGCTGCCGTGTGCCCGGCCACAGGACACGGGGGAGTTCGTCTGCGATGCCGGTGGGGACTCTGTCTTCTACAATGTCACCGTGGCAGGTGGGTGCGATGCAGGTGCACTCATGGGGTCACCTCTCCGGGGGTTTTCTTCCATGGTGCGAGATGCCATAGCACAGGTCGCTGTCAGCGTCAGTTGCTGCGCTGAGGCTGGGGACGCTCATCAGGTATGGTCTTGCTGGGTTCTCATCAGAAGGCTGGTCACTCGGTTGGGGTCTTTGTGGCAGCTCTGGTGCTTAAAACCACCCAGACTGACTGGCAAAGGGGACAGCTCATTCTGCTGGTCTGAAACACTCTGGCACCTGAGGGCACCCAGCACCTCCATTCCAGGGCGTTTGCCGGACCACGGCCAGTAACCAAGGTCTCCTCCAAGGTCTTAAAAATAGCGGGCCCGGCAGCTGGCTTGGGGTGACTTGCAGTTGGACATTGGTCTGACGGATGGCATTAATTGCTGACCTGAAAATTAGTGGCTGGGGGGGTAAAAGGTGTTTGCTGAGGGCGAGCAGGGCACAGCGTCCCATGGGGGCTGCCCCGGCCGTGGAGCGGCTGCTGGCGTCGCTGGCTGGCAGAGGATAATGAAAGCTGAAAGGGAATGAAAGACTGCCCGTTGCTGGCCCTGAAACCTTCAATCCCGTAACCACAGGAAGGCAGCCGGGGGCAGAGCTAAAGCCTGGTTAAAAGGCTGTGTGACCGCAGCAGTAAAACCTCTCCACGGTGTTAATACCTGGCAAAGCGCCGAAGTTGATGGCAGAGGATGTAGGAGTGAAGATGGGATGAGTGAGAAGAGATGCTGCAAGACTGAGTGAAGTGGTGACTGCTGGGAGAGTGAAGAAAGGAGGGTTTCAGTGTGATAAAACCAAAATTGCCAGTGGGAAGGACAGGCAGCATGTGCTCCGGACAGAGCCGGGAGGCATGGTCTGCCCCGCGGGGGTGCGGGGCAGGGAGAGCTTGGTTTTCCTGTGCTGGGAGAGGGAAAGAGGGAAACACCATCTGCTGAAGCTCAGCCTTTCAGCTGAGCAGCTTTGCGTAACTCAGACGGAAGGGTCTTAGAGAGACTGGCTCGGTTCGACCAGGACTTGGCCAT